TTGGCCGTTGATTCCTTGAATTCTCCCCGCAGGATGTACGGCTGCCTCTTCAAACGATGCGCTTCCCGCTCTACGCAAGTGCATAAGCCCGAGAAGTTTGTTCCAACAATTTGGGACTTCCTAGAAAGAAATAGAATAGTGTTTCCTTGGCCTGAATAGCGCAACTGAAGTATTGTGCACAGTATATTTAAAATGAAATACATTGATAATCAGGTTCCTAGACTCAAAAATGAGGAAGAAACCAACTGAAAATGAACCTCAGTTGGAAAGCCTTTCCCATTCCTCTGTCCTGCACTAAGACCTCAAGGTGCCTTTAGAACCAGTCAGCTCAAGAGGCACATGACAACAGTCAACTAACGCTTCTGGTCATCACTGCCTGTGACAGGAACAGTGACCATCAGTACATGCTGTCACATGCAATATTAACCCTGATCTGCACCACGTCATATCCCATGTTAGCCCTGCAATGAGTTAATAACTGGTTTAGATTTCATTATCACTGTGAAACCATCTAATTAAAAACATCTTCCTGGAAAACAAACAAAAGTAATTACACAGGGAATTGGCAACTGATTTATAAGCATAATTATGACTTTACCATATGCTTGGGTTCCTGTATTGACTATATATTATGCCCAGCATTATGCAGTGGTATCAATAATTAATTCTGTACATTATCCCTGCACGGCATTCTTCTTAACTGCATTCCTTAGAGAGCATCCTAAATGACCAAGACAGGAACAGCCATACAAATTCTAGACTGTCTCTCCGCCCCTAGCAAAGGCTGGTCAACTGCCGGGGGACTAGGGAAGATACAGAGGGTCCAGGACACTTTGCACAACAGAATGCAAAATAGAAAGGCAGGTAAAGCCGTGCAGTCAACTAAGGACATCACAGCAAGAAAGAGGAAGATAGTTTGTATATGACCTTGTGTATATACAATGTGATATGTATATTTTTTGAAGTTAAGACAGGAAACATTTCAGAAAATCTGATCTCCCTTTTTAGCATCACATGTGAAAGCTTATTCTTAGTCATGTATATATGATACACCCAGATCTATTCTGTTTCTTGTTAAACTTATGGCATTATGATCATGTACTGCCATAAAAGTTTTTTCACATTAGAACTTGACTCTTCTTACTGCGAGACTTTTTCTGAAAGAAACACAACAAAATGGCAAAATTTAAAAAAAGGATGAGAACCTGCAAGAGGTAAACAGTTGGAAAAAGTGAACATGTTATGGAGGATAGCTGTATTTTTTTTCTAATGATCTCTAGCAAACAGTAATCCAAAACATGAGACCTAAACATGTATATATAGGAGACTATTCAGCTTCATATATCCAAAACATGGGCTATTTTATTGGGTGTAGAGTTATACTAAAGAAAATTAGAAGAACAAGAGAATGTCAAGACCATGGAATAAAGGGGAAATAAAAGAAATTCTGAGAAAATTTGAATATGAAAGAACTTCTAGACACACACAAGAACTTCTACAGCCATTCAAACACACTGTAAACTTTTTATCACCAGAGGAAGGAACGTACAACAGTCTGGTGACATTAATACCAAATGAAATAATATCATATGGGAGAGAATTGGCAGGCAATTCTCAATTTTTTTTGAGATCTGGAATAGTCAGAATTCAACTTTTTGTGACAGATGGGCAACAGGTCAAATATGTTTGCATCCTCGCTTTTGGAACCAATAAATAAGAAAAACCTACTCAAAATGGAGAGCGATAACAGAAAAGTAATTTGAGATTTTTCAGTCATGGCAGCTTGTCTGATTTGTCATCCCACCTTCCCCCTCTCTGTAAACCACTTGTTATGTAGAAATTGCTGTACTGGATCAAGATGGTGATCCCCATGATGCAGTAACCTGCCTGGGACAATGGCCAGGATCAGGTTTTTTTCAGAAAAAGCCCTGAACTGCTTACAAAGCAGCTGAGGGATAACCTTCCTAAAGACAAGTTTCCCTCTGAATCTCAATAGATAGTGCTGGCTGGGAAACATAAATACTACAAATGTCTGCTTAAGCTGTGTTGTTGTTTTGGTTTAACTATTTATTAGTAAAATTCTGGATTTTTCTTGCCCAGATGTTTTCAGTCATAGTGTCCTTTAGCAGCTCTCATGAGAAAGTCAACAGTACATTTTTGCACCACATATACCTATATATTTACAAAATTATTTCTGATATTAGATCTGAGTACCAGAACTTTTTTCTGTTAATGCATGACGTAATGTTCTTGTAATATGAAACTGCATTCGTATGCAGTCCGGAGCTACAGGACAAAAGGATTAAATATGGCAGTATTCAGTCCTGATAAGCAGGCAAATCACTGTACATCAAACATGAAGAATATATTTAGCTGTAAATATAAGCCTATAATTTCATCACCTCATCTCCAGTAAAATGGATCACTGTGACCAGAAAACAGGTACATCCGACTAGACCTAATTCAGTGCA